GGGGGGACATCGCTCGTAGCAGGACATGGCTCAGGATGAGGTCTGGAATACAGGAGCACACCTGAGGGCAAGGCAGGAGATGTGTCACACTTGCATTTACTCAGTTCATTTACTCATTTTAGCTCAGTTATCGGGACAGAGACTTTCCAAGGAGCCTTTTAGGAACTGAGCCAGGAGCTGAGGAGGAAACCAAACTCTTAAATAAAGAGAGACAGAGGCTGAAATGTCCTCTGGGCTGTTGGAGATCCGGACAAGAACTGGCAGCAGAAGAAAAGAAACAAACCTGCGTCATTAATTTAATTGTAGGATTTTGATTGCACTTCTGGAGAGACCCAGCTCCGCACACCCAGAGCGTTGGGGGAGCAGCAATTAGGAGTAAAACCCAACCACCAATGTACCTGTGGAGAGAGGTCCACGGGCAGCTGGAAAAATGAAAGGAAGGATTCATTTCAAGGCTCCAACTTTGCCTACAAAGAGGTACAAATTTCAATGACAAATTTCAACGTCATTAAGCAGCCTTGAAGAAGAGGTCTTTGGAATTTTTCCCAGACAACTCATCTATGGATGTGAGAAAAAGCAGGAATTCCATGGGTTCTATCTGCACCACAGCAATAAAACCAAAATTCTCTGATTTCTAGGGGGTGTTCAGCTCTGCTCCGGTTTTTCCTCTTTTTTCCCTTCCACCCCACAATCCCTGACCCCACTTCCCAGAACTCCAGGAGATGTCTTTGCAGTCTGGAATGAAATTTCCACACTTGGCAACCCAGCTGACATTCCAGGATAGAAAAGACCCTCCAAGATATAAAATGCTGCTGAAATGTAACTGAGCTGCCGGATTTTCTATTTTAATAAATAGTTGGAGTTTAAAAGGATCTTTCAAGACCCCAGAATTCCAACCCCTTGCAGAGTTATTCCACGCATACAATCGTTAATCTTTATTAGTTCTAATATTTTCTATGTCATTTAGCATGTCTGAAATCCAGCGCTTGAATAAATTTCTATCACAAGTTCAAGGATCTCTATAGCCAAGTCAGGACTCCAGAAATTCCACGATTCCAACAGCAAACCCCAACTTTTTAAACAGAAAAAGTCTCCCCCCACCAAAAAAAAAAGAAAAAAAAAAAAAAAAAAGAGAGAAGAAGAAGACTCCAGCAAGGTGCAGAACACTGTGGGGGAAAAAACAGATTACTAAAAGGCAAGAACTCAGCAAACAGAGAAAGAAGTGGATTTGGACTAACCTTGCTCACAAAAGAGGAAAGAGGGAAGAGAAGTGGTAGGAAGGAGTTGGGTTGAGTTGGTTTTTATACCTCAGCCCTGATGGCCTGGGGACCACAGACAGCCTTTGTACCTGGAATTAATTCCCAACGAGTATGTCCTGAATGTCAAATGTTCCACCTGATTAAATGTTCTTTTCCTCAGTGCTTATTTACTTTGTTTTTATTTCCTCCTTATCTTCTGACAGACAGATTCCGTCCTGCAGGTTTCTCTCATCTCAGGAATTAGGGACCAAATTTATTCCAGGGCCACCTTTCAGTCACAACAAAATCCAGACTCCAGCGTATGTTTGACTTTAGTCATAAAGAAAAATACCAAGAATGTCTATAATACATAATTCATCATTCCAAGGCGTTCTTTTATTAAGGGTATGAGTGTAAATCCTTAATAAATTCCTGTCTCCAGCGATGCTCACCAGGCTCTGCCTCCAGCCGGGCGTCGGAACGTCGGAACAATCTCAATCCTGAGTTTGGGCAAGGCCCTGCCTAAAGAGCACATCCAGCCCTGAAATCCCACAGAACCCAGGCAGGAAGTGCAAGAATTGTGGAATTCAGAGACAAATTGCCACTTTATCACGTCAAATTCAGATGGTTTTATGGCATTAAATCTGGGTAACACAGTTTGAGGCTCAGCTGGGAGAACAAGGGGACATTTAATCCTGATTTATCAGTTCTTTTACAAAGGAGACCTCTAAACCCATCCTGTTCCACCTCAGATCACAAACACCAGTCAGAATCATGGAATCATGGAATGGTTTGGGTGGGAAGGGACCTCAAAGCTCATCCTGTGCCAATCTGTGTGCAGGGACACCTCCCATGATCTCAGGTTGCTCCAAGCCTTGTCCAACCTGTCCTGGGACACTTCCAGAGGTGGAGAATCCATGGAACCACCTGTGCCAGGGGTCACCACCCCCACAGGGAAGAATTCCTACCCAAACCCAACCTAAATTTCCCCTCTTTCAGTTCTACCTCTTTTCCCCCTTGTCCTGCCACTCTAGGCCCTTTGGAAATTCGCTCCCCATGTTTCTAGTTGGCTCCTTCAGGTCTTGGAAGGCCACAATGAGGTCACCCTAAAGCTTCTCCAAGCTTGGAAAATTCCTCAGAGGTTTTTTTTGGAGATGTGAACATTTTAATTGACAATTGTCTGTAAGTGGGTCAGACTGGGAATGGCACACAAAGAGTTTGGGCTCTGCTTGGATTTGATCTTGGATCCCAAGGAGGCCACAAGTGAACAAATTGCTGAGGAGCTGGAAAAAAAAAAGTCTTTATTAGACTGTGCTTGAAGTAATTTGACGTTGACATTATTAGAGTTGGTCTAAAAGTACCAGAAATTAAAAGTACCCATAAAGTGGGAAGATGAAAGAATTTTTAATGGGTAGATGATGCTTCTCACGCAATGCCAGCCTAAACCTAGACTGGGAAACAAAAGCAGGACAATTCCTTTATCAAGAAAAGGTTCCACTTGCTTAAATATGTGTGAGAACTAATTAATGCAAAAAAAAAAGATGCTTCAAAAACCCCATAAAGTCAAAAATATCTAAAGAGTTATTGCACCCATTTTTCCACCTGAACATCCAAGGGGGACATGTCTTCTAAACCGTGCTCACATTCTTCAGAACTTGTCTCTCCAGTGATTTCAGTCATTGCAGGTGATGGATCAGACCCTTAAAGATACAAAATTCTGCTTGAAATTGAACTGAGCATCTCCATTTAATAAAAACTTCAACATTCTGCACAACCCTCCTGCTGTGCTGGTTGGGAAGATTCTGGAACATGGCTTTTTTCCCTTTTATCCCCTTTAGGTCAGCAAGGGGAAATTTCAGGGTATATTTCTCCTTATCCAGACTCTTCACGCACCCAAATTCCCCTCCTAAACCTGTCCTGCTCTGTGTCCATTTGCATTGCGGGATTAATAGATAAAATAGATTAAATAGATTAAATAGATTAAATAGTTTGTTGGCAGTAGATGCAGAATACATTTCCAAACCCCTTACATATTTTTCAATAAAAACAGATTTAAACCGTCTTTTAAACCAAATACTTTTCAATTGGTATTGCATCAATTTCACACCATAATAAAATTCTGATAGCACAGAAATCTTATGTGTAACATTTTTATCAGCAAGTGCCATATCTGGGGTGTCACTTAAGCTGACCACAAGGATTTTGGTTTTATATTCAAAAAACTAGAAGAATTAGTCTGATCAAAAATACAACTGCAGCGGTTCTGTCGTGCGGAATGCCGCCACCCTTGGATTCCTCGCGGATCCCAGGGAAGAACTCATCCCACCAGTCCCTCTGATGAATTGTTTGGAAAATTTGCCCATGGAAACTTCTTTTCCAGCCCAGTCTCCTCTCAGTCTGGGACTTTTTCATTCCCCAGATTTCACTTTTTTGGCGTTGCGCCCTCAAGCCGTAGGCAGAAAGGGTCACCAGCAGAGTTCCTCTGCTCCCCGTGACACGGGAATGGCTGGAGCTGTGCCAGGGAGGTTTGGGCAGGATTTTTGTGGAAAATTCTTCCCCTCCCGAGGGTGCTGGGCACTGCCCAGGCTCCCCAGGGAACGGGCACAGCTTCAGGGCAGCTCCAGGAGCGTTAGGGCAATGCTTCCAGGGTCGTTTTGGGTTTTTGAGGTTGCTGTGCAGGACCAGGAGCTGGATTGGATGACCCTTGAGGGCCCCTTCCAATGAGGATATTTTAGAATTCTATTCCATCTATTTGCTGAACCCTTCTCCTCCCAAGTTTGTCAATTTGTAAGCAAATAATTTTTAATAAACTTTAAACAAAGCATAAAACATTTGAATATGAAAACCCCACCTCTTTTGCCTGTTCTGTGGACATTTGGACCAGCTCCACACCTGAATGCCAGGAGCCTTCTCTCAAGTTCCTCAAATATTTATATTTCAGCTCCAAGATGATTTAATTTTCAAATAGATTTTATTTCATAGCTTTATTTTTATTGAATCTCTTTTGGTTGCCACAATGGAAAGTGTTGCTTCTGCCATATTAATAATCGCTCAGATTCTCAAGCATTTCAAAGATGCCAAATAGGGGACAAGTTCTAAAATCTCTCAAGCTTAAACACCACAATTTTACTATTAAATACAGGGGTGGGATAACAAAAATTGGGGGAAACATCCTAGAAAGAGAAATAGATTTGAGAAGCTGTTCAGTGCTTCTCAAGAGTGTAAAAACCAATGAAACGATTTTCATCAGATGAGTTGTGGTGACTTTTGGATGACATTTTCCTCTGTGAAATCCTTGCATAGATTTTCACATAATTCTGCCCCAAGGGGAGGTAAAAATGGGGAGAAAAACCACAATGAAACTCAAAATCAGATGCAACATCAGTTTAATGATAAACAGTCAAGTAGCTTTCAGCAAAAACAAAGGGAAAATATATATTTATGAAGGTAAAAGAAACCATTCCGACTGAGAGACAGAAAGCAAGACTCCACATTTCCTTAATTCCTGAATACAACCCCTCCACTGACTGTTGGCAACCACAGCATTAAACCACTGTGAAATGCAAAATCAGAGACAAGGAAGCTCTTCAAAAGCAGGATATTCAAGGCTGAAACAGGCTGCCCACAAGACCAGACAGCACCTGCCTCCTTCCCTCCTTGGCAGGAGGGCTGGAGGGGGCCCCAAGGCCTCTGGAAACGCTGGCCAGCAGCTCCAGGGGACACTTGGCCTGGGGAGGCACTCACTGGACGTGCAGCCCGGCTCTAGCAGGGCAGGCACCTGCGGCCGCAGTAGCGGCCACCAAGGCCAGAGAGCCCCGAGAGCCCAAAGCCCCCCGAGTTGATGGGCACTCCCTCCTCGCTCAGGATGCTGCCCACGGCGGCGGAGGTGGAGGATCCCACGGCGGTGTTCTGCGGGAAGGAGCTGAGGATGGGCCCGGGCAGGGTGACCACCACGGGCGAGGGCTGGATGACCACGCGGGAGTCCTGGCACTGCCGGACACAGGGCTCGTTGCAGCTGTTGGCCAGCGGGGTGGGGCCACAAAGTGCTGAGGAGTGTCCGACATCCCAAATAATTCCAGTCCTGGCCCTCCAGGGCAGGACTTTAAAGTGTTTCCCGATTATGGAGCCGGGCTCCTCAGGGCCCTGAGGTTCCAGCCTGGCCGTTCCCCTGTGAGGGTCAGCTCTGTTCCTCATCTCTGTCCCTCTCCAGGCTGGGCGCTGCTGCTCTGGCCTTGGCAGGGGTTGCCCCGGGGGGTTTGGAGTCGGCATCCCTTGGAGGTGTTCAAAGGGAAACTGGCCATGGCACTCCGTGCTCTGGGCTGTGTGACAAAATGGGGATTGGTCCCAGGTGGAATTCAAAGTTCTGGGAGAGCTTTTGCAATCTCAGGAATCCCTTCAGGCGAGGGACCAGCCCCAGTCAGCCCCGTGGTGCCAATGTCCAGCAGGAGACATAGGGTGGCCTCTGCACTTGAAAGTCCTGCCCTGGAGGACCAGGGGCTGACACCAGATTGTCAGTGGGACACTTCTCAGCCCTGCCGCCATCACCTGGTCCTGCTGACAAATCATTTTCCCTGGAAATATTTTGGCCTCTAATCCTGGCACTTGAAAGGAGCCTGGGAGGCTGACTGGGCACGTCCTGCACAGGGAAATGAAAAGGCAGCGTTGCAGGGCAAAAATAAAAACACTAATTTTTGTAATTGCGATGTTTTGCATGCGAGATGAGCTTGGTAAACACATTGCCTCTGCAAAGACTGTCCCTGGGCCCGGGGCTGTGTGGGACAGTATAAAAGGCAGAGCAAGTGCAGGATCCCTCATCCACTTCTCCTGCCTTCTCCTCCTCGGTGATACAGGTGAGTGCTTTTCCCTGTTTCCATTTCTTTTCCTCTGTCTCTTCTGGCTCCCACTGGGGCTTTGCCTCAGTTTTGTTTTGCTGGGACAGTTGGTGATCCTCTCCATTCTCTGTGCCACACTGCAGGGAGGTGGGAGCAGGTCTTGTCTGTGTTTTTAGGGTCCTCTTGAGGACTACGATACCTTGTCCTTTCAATCTCCTTCTCGAGGCTGTCCCTTCTGCCCAGGCTCTGCTCTTTCTCCTGCGAGCAGCGTCTCCCTGTGGTAAATGTTTCCTGGGACACCTTCCATGGCTCATGTCCTGTGTTAGAAGTTTTACAGCGACTTCTGTGAGCCAGAGGGAAGTTTGAGAAGAGGATCCATGTTCTCCCCTGATAGAATTTCCTACCAAGGTCCTTGACACAGAAACCAAGAAAGAAAGAAGGAGAAATAAGAGAAAGCTGCAACTGCCAGTTCCAATGAGCACTTTGTTTGTCTTTCCTGACCAATGAGTAAACTTACGAGCTTTGTAAGAATGTATAAAAAGCATGCATGCTATAACAAAACCAGGTTTGAAGCCTTCTGACAATGGAGTGTTGCTTGGTATTGTGACCGTCTCAACCATGACAATGTCCTTCATGCAACAGATTCCCAAGGAGCTGTCTCCCTTAATTTCTGCCACCACAGCATCCCTTGTACCCTCCTGTCCCTCCTGGAGGGCTCAGGGCTGCAGGCACAGCTCAGGAGATCACAGGGACACGTTGGGCACAGGGAGAAAATTGCTCGGGTGTTGAGTTGTCGTGTGGGTGGTGATGCAGAGGAGGACCAGGTACTCCTGCTTCCTCCCATGTCTTCTACTCCCTGTCATTCAGGAATCACAGAATTGTGGAATATCCAGACTGGAAGGGACCCAGAAATCATCCAGTCCAACTCCTAACCCTGCACAGACACCCCAAAATCCCACCCTGTGCCTGAGAGCGTTGTCCAAACACAAGAAGTGATCCTCACTCGACCTGGAGCAGAACGGAGGGGTCACAGACCATTCCAGGGATGGAGGGGTCAGAGACCATTCCAGGGATGAAGGGCAGGGAATGGAGGTCTCAAAGACCATTAAGGGCAGTCCCTCAGTGCTGACCATGGGACGAGGCCAGGCCTGGTTGTCCCTGCATGTCTGAGTGTGCTGACATGATGGAAGAGCAGCCCATGACCTTGCTTCTGCTTGCCTCCAGTGTTTTCCTGCTGACATTCCCAGACCATGAGTCCCTCTGATGTGTTTTGATGTCTCCTCGGAGAGCTCTGCAGGCTCTTTCCACCGCCTGCTACTGAGTTTGGGTGTAGGCTCCCAGAAGGGATTTGGAGATTTGGGGATGGAGAAGGAGCAGTGGGAAAGGCTCAACATGGACGCTTGGTGCTGGGTGGAGCTGGTGGGAGCAGTTAGGGTGTGTTGGAGAGGATTTTCTGCTTTTCAAACATCCTCCTGTTGACTCGAGGATGCTGGGCGCTCTCCACAAGGGCATGGAAGGGCAAAGAGCACATGGATTTATCTGGACGTGAAATCCCTGATTCTTCAGAGTGTCCAAGGTGACTGGGAAGTTTATACCCAGCTCTGATGGAGTCGAGTATTTGGTTAGGCAGCAGATGATGTGAGTCCTGTCACAGAAAACATATTTTTAAGCCTGGCTTGTTATTTTAGGCATGCCAGGAAAAATGCCCTGACCATTCTGGGAATCTGAAAGTGAGGCCCTGGAGGGCAAAGGGCCTGGTGACCCCTGGTGAAATAGGACAGTCCCCAACACCAGCTGCATCACCCGGCCCTGCTGACGTGGCACTGCCCCCAGACACATTTTGGCCTCTAATCCTGGCACTTGAAAGGAGCCTGGGAGGCTGACTGGGCATGTCCTGCACAGGGAAATGAAAAAGCAGCATTGCAGTGTCCCCATTTCTCTAATGGGGATGTTTTGCATGGAGGATGAGCTTGGTAAACACATTCCATGTGCCGAGGGTGCCCGTGGGCCTGGGGCTGTGTGGGACAGTATAAAAGGCAGAGCAAGTGAGGAGCTCTCATCCACCTCTCCTGCCTTCTCCTCCTCGGTGACACAGGTGAGCTGCGAGGGCTTTTGCCTCCCTCTTCTCCTTCTTCTCTTTGTCTTTGCCTTCATCTCTGGCCTCGCTGCTGTGCAGCTCCTGCGGAGAACTTTGCTCCCAGATCCTGCTCCCAGCCTCAGCTCACTGGAAGGAGCTGGGAGAAACTCTGGGGCTCCTTGCAGGAAGCCATGGGGATGGGGCTCCTGATCCTTTCTTCCTCTTTGATCCCTGTCCCTTCCCTCGGCCTCTGCTCCTTCTCCTGCTGAGGCCGTGCCTCACGTTCTGCCTGTGCCTTCTCCAGGTGCTCCTCCAGCCCCAGCCATGTCCTTGCCCCAGGGGACATCTCAGCCAGGACAGATGTTGGGGACATTTTCCAGCTGATGAGTCAAGTCATTGACCCGATGTTTCTGTGCCAGTTTCACCCACCTGCCCAAGGCCTTGGTTGTGTTTTACCACCTACCTCTGGACCTTTGCCTTCCCTCCTCGAGCACTTCTCCCATGCCCTGGCTGCAGAGGGAGTCCCAGACGACTTGAAGGCACGTTGCCTAACTGCCAAAGACAACATGATGCCCAATTTTCTTTTCCTGCATTCTGTGGAGCATTTCTCCCCAGGGAATGGGGTGTGCCTGGCCCTGCAGCCATCTGGTGACAGTCAAACACTGCTCCTCTGCCCTATTCAGGGCTTCAATACCTGAAATAAAACCATCCTGCCAAGTTCCTCTGTCTCTTTATCTGCTGTGGAAATGCCCTCCTGTCCTTGCCTGAGCCAGGAGGGGATATTGGAGCAACAGGGTCAAAATGGAACCAGGGAAGGGAGTCAACACCCCCAGGACACCCCTGAGAGAATGGGGTGGGTGGGGACACCTGATGCTTCGTGGAGCCCCTCAGTGGGGCGGGCTGGGTGGGGGAGAAGGAGAGAGGGCTGGAAATGCCTTTGTTGCATTCAGTGTTTTGCCTGTGGAAGGGATTTGAGTGGAAATGCCTTGGATGGAAATGTGGTGCATGTGTTTTGAAGGAAATCTCTCTGTTAGATCTGCTCTGTCAGACCTGGCAGTTTCTCCTGAAAGTGTTTGTTTGGAGAAAGTTCTCCTGTCAACCTGAGAGCTCCCTTCACCCTTCTGGATGAGGAATCTGGCTTGGACCTCTGGGATTTGGAATTTTTCTGCCTCTGATGGAGCCCCAGCCTTGCTGGGACAGGAGTTTTTCCCCCTTTGCCATAAGGGGTGTCACGGTGGTGCCCAGGCAGGGCTGTCACTGCTCCTGGGGACACCAGCTCTGCCCTTGCCCCAGGAAATGCAGCTCAGAGCGTGGAATCCTTCCCTTCCCCATCTCTGGGGACATCCTGGCCCCTGCTGCTCCCAGGCTGGGTTTGTGGGCACTGCCAGCCCTCAGCTGCTCCCTGTGTCCTGCTTGGAAATATTCCCGAGTTTTTGGGGCAGGGTGTAGGACCTGGTCAGAGGCAGGAGGAAAAAAGGAGTGGAGAGATGGCCATGAGGAATGGGAAAAATACGAGTTTTGAAGTCATATGCTCTCATTAGGGAGTGTTTTCTGCAAGATAATGACCCTGACTAATATTGGTTGTTGGGAAAGCAGCGTCCTTCCCTCTGGAACTGTCCTGTTCTGCTGATTGGAGAACTCCAGGCAATGCTGAAAGAGGTGAAAGACAGAAGAAATGAGATAATTTCTTCTAAAGGCAATATGAGATCCCAAAGAAAGTTCAAAACCAACCCCTGTAGCCTCTCTGATGAATAAATGATGTCTAAGAAGGCTTGAAAGGCCTTGGAGTCACAGGGAGCAATGTCTATGGCCAGTCCCCACCAAAGCCAGCCCTTTAATCCTGGGTTTATAATAAAAAACTGCATTTATCACTCCAAAGGCTCAGAGCTGCCTCAGGAGGGGAAGGTGCTGACATCACCTGGAAATATGGCACCACTCCACCCAGCTGGCTGAAACATCAGCCTGGTTCTGGCTGAAAAATACCCTAAAAACATTTTGGCCTCTAATGCTGGCACTTGAAAGGAGCCAGTTTGGCTGAATGGGCATGTCCTGCACAGGGAAATGAAAAGACAGCCTTGCAGGGAGCATAAACAACCTCCAGTTTACTTAATTGGGGATGCTTTGCATAAAATATGAGCTTGTTGGTAAACACATTCCCTGTGCAGAGGCGCGTCGGGCCCGGGGCTGTGTGGGACAGTATAAAAGGCAGAGCAAGTGAGGAGCTCTCATCCACCTCTCCTGCCTTCTCCTCCTCAGTGACACAGGTGAGCTGCAAGGGCCTTTGC